TAAAATGAATTCCTTAACATAAAATAAGCAAATAAAATAAGCAAACCAGCTCTTTCCTTTTACTTAGGTTTTTAAACTGAGTTCCTCGTGGACCTTATAATTTAATTTATATAATTTATAACTTATAATTTAAGTTATAAGAGCTAGTTGGAAACAAGCCTAAGCTAAGGCCAAGCTTTCATAACTAATAATAAGTCTCCATGTCATTATTTGGGAGTTGGTGGTCCCAACAATAAAGTCTGACTACATATGGTGTCCAAAGTGGAGGCACAAATATCCACATAGGACCTGAGAAAGCTTTAAAAAAAAAAAAAAAAAAAGAGTTCCAAACACACAAACAGACCTGGCTTCCTAGGCTGGCTGGTGTTCATGGCATACAGAGGCGTGGCTCCCAGCTGCTGCCTACAGGCTTGAGGCTCAGCTCTCACAAACCCAAGCTGGGGTAGAGCCAGCTGCCAGAGCCATGTGCTAAGTAGAACCATGCGGCGGATTGCCTGACCCTTTAAGGTTTGGCTCCCGTGGTCAGAGAATACTTCATGTACCTAGTAAGGCTGAGTTCAGACGAGAAAACTTCTGAACAGGTACAGTAAAAATGGGTATAGACTGTCATATAAAAATATAAATGCTTTTTTATATTTATTTATTATGTATACAATATTCTGTCTGCATGTATGCCTGAAGTCCAGAAGAGGGCACCAGACCTTATTACAGATGGTTGTGAGCCACCATGTGGTTGCTAGGAATTGAACTCAGGACCTTTGGAAGAGCAGGCAATGCTCTTAACCTCTGAGCCATCACTCTAGCCCCCTATAAATGCTTTAAAAATAATAAAGTCTTTAAAGAGTGAGTAAAGTTATAAAAAAGAATAAGCCATGTAAGGGTGGGAAATATTATAACACAGGGAGTTTGGGCCTATGGTACTTTGTTAACGTTACACTTTTGAATGCTAACGAATAGAGAACAACCACTGCTGAGAGACACTGGATTGAGGAAGGACTGCTGAATTAAATCAGCCTATATATTTTATGGGTGACTTAATTTCAGAATGGGAGTCAGGAAATGTTTTGTGCTGGGGGAGAGGTTATACCCTGTTTGCACAGGAAAAAAACTATGGATTCCTTCAAAGTTAGTGAAGATCAGATTTGATGGGTGTGGGGATCCTGAGAATCTTGGTTGCAGATATGAGGGGGAAAGCCAGGAAAGACTACAAGCCAGGTGACATTGATGCTGATTCTTCTACATGGGAACAGCTCTGAGACTGGAGGAGACATAATAAATCTTGTTGGCTACAGAATCCTCATGCTTTATTATTTACATGCCATCCTTTTATATGGCATGGATGGAGATTCATATTCCAGTTTGGCTATACAGTCCAAATGGACTTAAAAAGTTGACAGATGTCTTTTACCTGATCAAATATAGAGCAGAGAATCATCTTTAACTGACTTGAGCACACTGCACATTCCATACTTGTGTTAATGCAAATATGTATGTTACCTTTAAAAGTCTGTGTATTTTCAGAAAAAAAGAACCAGATACCAATGAAGACAAGTAGCCCAGGTGATCCAGCCTCTCGGAGTGCTGCACTTTCCTCAAAAATCTGCATTCAGAACAACTTCAAAGCTACTTGCTGAGATGGTCCAGCCTCACAGACTACTCCAGTCAGGACTTCAGATAAACCCTGCATTATCCCATTACACAGAGACTGGACAATAAATGTTACAGCTATTTTCCCAGGACTTGACCATTATCTCAGTTTTCTCAGAGTCCCCTAAAGATACAATTATCCCAGCAGGAAGTAATTTTAAGAACATGACGCCCACATTTCCAAGAGATGGGGTGGGTAGTTTTATTATCAATCGGTGGGTTATGGGTGCTTGTCATTGTTTAGCAGGGCTTACTTGCAAATTGTTATTGGTCATGGCCAGAGAAAAAAGCTAAGCAAAAGAGGTTAGACTCAAGGTTTTCTTTCTGAAAAGATAAAGGGGGAATAAAAAAATGATAAGATAAAGTGGTAGATTACTGAATCTACTTTTAAACTAAAAAGCAACCACTAGTCACAAATATTTTACATTGGTATAGATTTTTATGTATTGATACAAATGTAAGGTTATTTTTGTTAGAACATACTATATATATATGTAAATATATGTTTCTACTCTTGTTTAAGATATTTTGTACATTGATACAAATTTAAGACTACTTTTGTTTCAATAGACTGTGTGTATGTTTCTACTCTTTTTTAAAGTATTGTACCCATGCAGCTCATTTTAAAATGTAATGTAAATTCCAGTTCTTAAAAGTTATTATTATAAACTCTTTAGGATAATTAAGAAATATAGGTCAGCTATAACAATCTAACTTGTAGTCATATTAGGTATGTTTTCAAGGTTAAACAGACATATTTTAGATAGATAGGTGGTCTTCAAGCACTTCAGAGATTTACAGAATATGGTATTAAGATGTTTTAATAACATAAAGCTTTTCATGACAGTGAGATAGGTCTGCTCCTGGCAGTTCCAATCTACTTCAGAAAAAAAGGTGATGGGTGTTGAAGAACCTCCATATGGAATTTGCTTTCATATGTGGCAAAGCTAGCCACTGGGCAACTGCCCTTGCCTAGAGTGCAGACAGTATTCTGTCCAAATCGGACAAGGACACAAAAGAAGGTGACTGCGAATTTTGCCAAGACAAGGTAGGACAGTTTTTTCAAAAGTCCTGCTTCACAAAAAATCTCTGTCAGATATTCTAGGCCTGTAGGCTGAAGGTGGACGCCCCAATATTACAGAGAAATCTTGAGTGACTGTCCAGAAAGTCAGATGTCTCAATTGTTTCTAGTTTTGGAAGTTGTTGGCCCTGCACTTTCTGTTTACTTGAGAAATATTTTATCCTTCTTAGGTCTCTGATGGGGTTGAAGACTAGATAGTTAAATCATTTTCTTTGTTACCAAATTCAGAAGAGAAACTTACAAAAAGAGATATAAAATTTATAAAGGTTAATAGACATAAAAGCTTAAGTTGTTTATCTAAAAAAAAGGTTTAAGGTTTAAATATATACTATTAGGTTGGTAATACAAGTTATGATAAAAAGTGGTTTAGGTATAAAACTTTGGACTCACCAAGATAGGATAGATAATAGAGTATTTTCTCTGAATTTGCCAAATATAAATGGACTGGATTTTGTACGTGTATCTCTTACTTGATAATTGTTCTTATTGTATATAATTTACTTTGTTAGAGTTAAAACCTTTCATTTTTATTTGAAACAAAAAAGGAAGAATTGTCACAGGATATTTGTTTATACTGTGTGAAGATGTGTCACTGTGGTTGGTTTAATAAAAAGCAGCCGGAGCCATGAGCATATACAGCAGATGACAGCTCATATTTGACAGGTCAACCCACCAGATGAAAAACTCTCTGGTGGGGAGCCCCACTTGGTAAAGACCGTGGGGTCACTGACTGTGAATCGGTTGCTTCTGTCTGTAGTTTTTCTCATGTGCCACTACATTTCTTCCTGAAAACAGCTATGGGTATTTTTCCTGGTGCCAGTGTGTTTAANGTTTATTTCATGAAAATATTTCATCTACTGGGCACACATATATCTGTGGATGGTCAGAAAGATAATTTCTGCTTAATCTGTATAATTTTGATGAATAGAAATAATACTAGGATATTTTTCGTAGCTCAGACTGACATAGGAAAATAACAAGATTCTCAGTTACAAAATTTATTTTAGACTTCAGAACAGATTCAAAATAGACTAGATGCACCTACAAAATATGCACCAGAGCAAGTTCCCAGGTATCTGTTGAACCAAAGTCAGGGTGATAACATTGAGATATAACTCCCTGCAGCAACTGACTTTCTGCACGTACCCCTGGCCTCGGTTTGTGATGCAGGACTCAAGACCTAGTCAACTAACTGATTATCGTTTAAGTCCCGAATTTCAGTGTCACTCTCTGTCTGGGAACCCCGACCACTTTAAGAAGCTACAAGCCTGCTTTACTCACCATGCCCGGTTGGCGTGACCTCCCTAGCCTGAGAGAAACCGTATGGTTCCTAGTGTATCAGAATGGCTCTGTCTCTATTGTGTACTCAAGAACTGCTAAGTGACCCTAAGAATGTTATTTATATATTGTCCAGAGTTTGTGCTATGAAAGGTATGTGAGAGTGTATGTGAGTGTGTCGGTGTGTCAGTGTGCGAGTGAGTACTGATGTAGAAGAGAGGTGTAGCTCTATGTGAAGAAATGTAGCAGAGTGGAGAGAAGAAATGTGTAGAGGAGACAGATGTATGAAAAACAGGGATGTATCTGTATGGAAAGAGATGTAACTGTGTACAAAGACTGTCAGGAGAGGAAAGGTGTTATTAATAAAAACCCAGGATCAGATATGGGATAAATGCTGAAAAACCAGAGAAGTTAAGCAGCTAGCCACTAGAAGGACCTCTTACCTCTACTGAATCCTCAGACCAAAGTGGGCAAGATCCCGTCTCCACGAATCCTCAGACCGAATGCCATGAGCTTCTATCTCCTCCTGCCTTTTATTCCTCTCTCCACCCAGCCATATCCCTTTCTGTCTCCACCTTCCTAGTGCTGGGATAAAAGGCATGTGACTCCCAAGTACTGGGATTAAAGGTGTGCACCACCACTGCCTGACCTCTATGGCTAATTAGTGACTTAGCTACACACTCTGATCTTCAGGCAAGCTTTCTTTATTTGTTAGATCACAAACAAAATATCACCATGGAGAGGAGATTTTTTTTTCAAGATGCCGTAATAAAAATATAGCTTACACAGGTACCCCACTTAAACCAGTAAGAAAGGATAGAAGAGGAGGAAGACAAGCTGCTTCCTGAATCAATTTCAAAAGAAAAAAAATCCTTTAAAATTGTAGTTAGCACCCTTTGTTCTCAAAAATTAAATAATAACCTAAGTGTAAATGGCCCATGGTGCACAGGGGCTCTAAAAGCAAAGCATTTTAGTAAAAATTAAAACAACCTACCTTTCAGCAGTAAATGCAGACTCTGTGTCAATGTACACCACAGCCCCTTCTAATCCTCCCATGTTGGTGGGCAGTGTAGCTAAAATGCTCATCATCATACAAAACTGAGTTTTTCCACAGCCTGGTGGACCTGTAATCTAAAGAACAAAGTCATGTTATCTATAAAATTTGAATAAACACTGTAATTTAGTCAAAGAAAATTATTTTAGGATTGGCTGAAAAAAAAAAAAAAACCAATGCAATGAGCCTGGGTTCCAGGAGAGAATTAAGCTCTACTTCCCAAAGACACCCACTGTATGTAACAACTAACTTTCCTCTTATTGGTGTATGCTTGGGATGTGTATCCTTGGGAATAACGAGAAAATGCTCACTCAGTTAGTTACCTTCTGTGCTCTGTTACCAGACGTGAAGTTAAAACTGAGAAAGGATAGACGTTGCACCCACTAACTGTATATACTGGTGTTGACGAATGACTTTGTGAAAATACTAATGATTGGTAGGGGTGTTAATCCTTTAGGCAATAGATAGCACAGTTACTTGTCATTCAAAGAAGGTCAGTAGATATAACATAGCACATAGCTTATCTGTCCTTTCTTTTTATTTTTCCTGGCTGGTCCGGAACTTACAGAAATTTGTGTTTCCACCTTAGTGCTGAGATTAAAGAAATGTGCTACCATATCCAGCTTCTTATTTTTTAAATATATATATATTAAAATATAATTTTAAAATATATTATGTTCACTAAATTCATAATTTACTAAAAAGTTATAAAATATAATACATATTATATATAAATATAAAATTTACTAAATATATATAGTAAAATACTTAAGTGTATATGTGTTCTTCCTTCTGTCAGTTCAACTGCTCTTTCACAGTCTTTACTATGAGTTGTGCTTCAATGGATTTTCATGATCAGTCCTCATCTCATCACAGAGTACCATAAAGAGTCTATATTTTACAGCCCAGATGTTTTCTCAAAGGCTCGCCCCCTCGGAACTTCGTCCTCAGTTTGGGGTAGCAGAAACTTTAACAGGGAGGGCTGATGGAGGACGATTAGGTCAGACAGGAGAGCAGAAGGGATCATTATACCTCTTATGGAGTGTGTTCTTTCATAGGCCCCTTCTGCACACAGTACTTTCCTTTTTGCTTCTCTGCCATATTGTGGCACAGCCAGGTGAGTCTTCCCAACAGGCTCCTGTCATGTTGTTTGGATCTTCTAACCATCACATTGTGACCCAAATAAATCTCTTTACCATATAAAAGTACCCAACCTCCAAAATTCTGTTATGGCAAATGGTATAGTAGTAGACTCAAACAAGTTTTTATAAAATCCAGCAAAACTTATATCATTTGAAAAACTCTTTTGCCCATCTAAAATTAACTTTTGTGTTGTCTGTCAGTCACCTAAAAATAAAAGCAACAGAAAAGCTAAAAGATTTTTACAAGAAACATCCATACACTCACCCCCTATACTCAACAATTACCATCTTATTGTATTAACTATGCGATTTCCTGTTATATTAATCTGTCCATCTCTCCATCTATTTACCAATACATTTTGGGTTTCTCTCTTTCATGCTTCAAAATAAACCACACATCAACATACTTTCTCCCAGAAATCCTGCACACATATCATTCTCCAGAGTTTAATATGTATAGTACTTTTCCTTTTGACTTTCTCATAATGAAATATGAAATATTTGATGAATACTAACAAACATATGATGTGGGAGTTCCCTGTGTATGCTGTGATTACCATTAATGAATAAAAAAACTGCCTTGGCCTGTTGATAGGGCAGAACTTAGGTAGGCAGGGAAAACTGAACTAAATTCTGGGAGGAAGAAGGCAGAGTCAGAGGGACACCATGGAGCCGCCGCTGAAGACAGATGTGCTGAAACTTTGCTGGTAGGCCATGATCTCATAGTGATGCATAAATTAATAGAGATGAGTTAAATTAATATGTAAGAGTTAGCCAATAAAAAGCTAGAGCTAATGGGCCAAGCAGTGATTTAAATAATACAGTTTCTGTGTGGTTATTTTGGTTCTGGGCAGCCTGGATGAACGAGTGGTTCCATGCAACAAACAGACACATACGCCATCTATGAATTACTTGCTTATAGTACTGGGGATTGAATTCAGGGGTGATGTGTGCTAAGCAAGTAGTCTCATGCTGAGCTACAATTCCAGCTCCATATATGTAATCTAAATTGCTATCAAATTAAACATTACTACCCCCAGAAAATGCCCTCATTCATTATTTTCTAGTCAAGAAGTCTGAGCAAGTCTGGTGGTACAGGTTTATAATCCCAGCTACTTGGGAAGCTGAGATAGGAAGAATCAAGGCATCTGTGAGCTACAGCCTGAGTTCAAGGCTAGCCTAGGCAACATTTTTTTTGTTGTTGGTTTTTGGTTTTTGGTTTTTCAAGGCAGGGTTTCGCTGTAGCTTTGGAGCCTGTCCCGGAACTAGCTCTCATAGACCAGGCTGGCCTCAAATTCACAGAGATCTGCCCGTCTCTGCCTCCCGAGTGCTGCGATTAAAGGCGTGCACCACCACTGCCTGGCACCTAGGCAACATTTTATCCCAAAATGAGCAATAGATGTAACTAACCAGTAGGGCCCTGAGTTTCACATCCAGTGCTGAAAAAAAAAAATCTATGTGCAATGTCTTTCATTTTTGAGGCTATCCCTTCCCTGTCAATATCTTTACCTCAATGGCATATGTGCAAAAAAGTAGTTCTTAATGGATTTCATTTTTGAAACCGAATCTAGCCAGTCAGATAATCTAGATCATACTAGAAAAACATTCACACTTTACACTCCTCATTATTTCTATCACTATTGTTGTTGTTATTGTTGTTGTTACACTCACATACTGGACACAGTCCACGTGCTTTATCATTATTATTATTATTATCATTACTCTTGCATATCATGCAACAGCCCACACAAGAAGGTCAAACACGAAATTCAGCCAGTAGGGTCTCTTCTTCCACCATGAGATCTGGGGACTGAACTCAAGTTTTGGCTTGCATGGCAAGCACCTTACTCTCTAACCATCTCAGTAGGCCCCCTTTAAATTGTCTTTATTCTAAAGTTGACTCTCACTTTGTAGTCCTGGCTAGCCTAGAACTCACTATATAGACCACTATGTGACCTTGAACTCACAAGAAACCAAATCCCCGTCTCCTACGTGCTGGAACTGAAGGCATGTGCCACTCCTAGCCAAAAATATTTTTGAATACTTTACATGTATAGCATTCTCCCTTTGATTGATCAAAACTGAATAACTGACCAAAGTCAGCACGAATCAAACTGTTCATTACATGTCACAACAGGAGACACTCCCGTTGGGAAAAGTTGCACAGAAGTCTTGAAACCAAACAAATGTGTGCATGTTAGAGGGTGAAAGGGTAGAAAAATGGAGGGCAGGCCATCTTCCAATGCATGCTGTCTAGGGCCAGTTCTGGGATCTATTCTTTGATTTAATGAGATTAAAGCTGCTAAATGCTTGGTCATTTAGTGGAATGCAATTTAAATGGCACATATGAAATACTCAGTATCAGGTACTATGAGAGTGTATGGTATTAATTTATTATTTTCTCTCTGAAAACATCTACCTAAAAAGCTGGAAAGTTAAGTAAAGTATCATTTTCTCTCATGAACTGCCTTAGTACAGTCTGGGGAAACACAATATCATATCTAGGTTGGTTTGGGCTATTTTGAGTTTGATTTATACTGTAGTAACTATCTCTAGAATATTCTTAGTATATTTTCCTTCTTGTAACAGCTGTGTATATGTGTATGTGTGTGTGTGTGTGTCCAAATATACAATTTTATGGACTTCCAGGAGTTAAATTTCATTATTTTTCAGGTTTATTTATTGGGGAAAAATATCTCAACATTAATAAATTTAGCTTTAGACAGTTTAGCCCTGAATTCCACCATCCAAACCACAAGATTTCAAGCTGTGTTCGGTTCCCAGCTTCTACCCAATGGTGGTTAGAAAGAAAAACTTGCCAAGCTAGAGCAGTCAAAGCTGTTTGCTTCTTGGAAGCATTGGCACACAGAAACACCGTAAGATACAACCAGCTGCACACAGTTAAGCTGAACCTCAACACCTCTCCACGAGAAATGCAAAAACATCAGGAGGAAAATACTTAGTGAAGACCATTCAAGTATCAGCAAGATAGCAAACTAGTGACACATTTGAGGAGAAAAATGCTATTCCCAATAAAAGAAAATCTATCTGTTAAAAAAAAAAAAAAAAGGAAGGAAGGAAGGAACGAACGAACCTATTCACTTCAACCTGAACCTCAATTGCACGGTGAAAGAGAATGTGAAGCCTAGATCTGCTAGGACCTCACATCTTACCAAGTGAACTCTGCACACTGGAGCCCGGGGCAGCAAGACAGTGTAATCTGCCAAGCCACTACTTGGCAGAAGAAAATTAAGGCTTTTCTGGCCCTGATCTGAAACAAGACCGCTCCTGGGAACTTCCCTTTTTCTCTAGTGACCCCGCATCTAAGAACTTGTCTGTATTTGCTCAAGAATTATGCACAAATATGGTTAGGTCTTCAGACCTACCTAATTCATTTCATAACTACCTCTCCCAATCCTAAAACTTAAAAATAAAGAGCCAAGAATCTCAGAAGGCTGCTGCACTCTGCCTTGGGAAAGAAAACTGGATCTTAACTTACAGAACATCAGCATGTTTATATCCAAGACTCTCTGTACCATTAGTATATATTGGTGGTGGGTGTGGGTGTGCATGTAAGAAGAAAGGAGAGAACCAGACAGTAAAAGAGAAGGACGTGGAAATGGCAAACATTGCGAAATACACATAAAAATCAAACAGCGTGAAGACAAATAGCCATGAATTTAGCACCATTTCCTGAACACATTATGTGAACAATCCTAAGAAACCATAAAGGTATATCTAAAATGAGGAATGAGTGAGGACATCAACAGCGCATGCTAAAATCCTGGGGTGACTGGAACCTTTCACAGAAGTGCACCAGGTAAACAAATCAGTGAGTGTATCACACATAAACGATCCCCACCTGAAATCATTCCCTATTTTTCCCACCACTGTGACTATATGTGGACCACCAGAACCCAACTGTAACTGAATAA